CTCTGTTTGAGGTTGGCTAGGATGATGAAACCAGGTGTGGTTCATGCCTCCCTACAGCTTGAAGGCTGGGGGTGCCGACCAGACAAGTGACCCAAACTAATAGACGTGTCCTGATGGGTAAGAACAGGATATTCCGAACAAACATGTTGGCGGAAATTGTGGGGAAACCCATTTCCGTGGCTTCTGTAGTCACCCTGCTTTGAATCCTGGTTCTATCACTTACTAAACAACGAATCAGTTTCTCACCTGTCAGATGTTCTGCTTATAAACAGCTCGGCCGAGCCTTGGCATTCACTAAGTGCATGATGGGTGAGAGTCACTGTTTTCATTAGGTGCCTCCCTTGATTTACTTGTCATTTGACTGAGTGTCTACTTTGTGTCGAGCACTGAGTAGGCTCTGAAGCCATGCCAGGGAGGAGTGCTGCCCTCACAGCTTGTGTGATGGCTGTAACCTTGTGTTGGTCATGGCCCCATTTGGGGATCTGTGAAGGCGGTAGATTCATTATCTAGAAGCCACGTGTGTGAAAACACACGCCTGTGGTCGCTTGCAGATAGTCTTGAACTCCGGGATTAAAAGTCCCTGATTTGGTGGATAGCAAAAGCCACCGCTTTCTGAGCCGCTGCTCCATGATTCCTGTGTTGCTTCGTCCCACTGCTGTCCTTGGGCTTCGTGGAAAGCCCAGGTGGGCAGGACATGGGGTTCTCACACCCTCTCAGCTTTATCAGGACTTGGCTGTGGAGCCAGGACAGGCTGTGGTTGAGCATAAGGTGCCCTTCGCTGCCCCATCCTCAAGGTGCCACTCTGTGGCCCCAGCCCAGGTTGCTGAGAGCAGGGTGGCTAGGGGTGGGGGAAGGCAAGGTAGCCCCTGTGGGCTCCTTCCTGCCTCTGGGAGATTGAAAGGAGCAGTGGAATAGATTTTTAAAAGGCACCCAAACACAAGTTAGACCCAGAGTTTGGTCCTGGCTCGTCCCTCTTATGGCTGTTTGTCCTTGGGTAAGTGACTTCACCTCTCTGAGCCAGTTTCCTCATGTGGGAAGTGGGGTGACAGTCCTTGCCTCTGCAGGATTGTGTGTGCCGCAGGAGGCTTTGGGGTGTTCTCTGCACACTGCAAAGTGCTATGTAAATGCCAGGGCTTGTCTACCGTGCCACCAGGCCCACGCCACTTCCCGGCTTTGAAAGAAGCCTCGTGCTCTGTCCTCTTTGGGTTTGAGGACAGATCCACTCGTGGGGTTCAGAAAGTGGCACATCCCTAGCTCACTAAATGTTAGTTTTGGTTTAAAAAGAAGCACCATTGTGTTCAGAGCTCCCAGCGGACGGGGCGGCAGGCCTGGTACTCCACCCTGTGCCTGGAGTAAGTGAGGCTCTGCCATCTCACCTGCGGGGATGGCACTTGCCAGCCACCCTCGGGGGCTTCTTGCTCAGTGAGGTTCACCTATGGGAAAGAGCCCCTGGGACTCATGGTCCCCTGGGTGGACAGACAGGAGAAGGGGCTAGGAGAGAGGGGCGCTTCCCCAAGAGAAGTGTCAGCAGGCTGTAACCTCAGTCACAAAGCTTTCCCACCCTCGCAAAGAGAGAGGCCCGGTCTCAGGTTGCAGGCACCATTGTTTACTTAGTGGCTCATTCCAGGATCTTGCTTTTGAAAGCACAGTATGAAATTGGAAGGAACTGCTCCAGAGCGGGAGGCGTAGGCAGCTGCCTAGTGAGACGTAGCAGAAGCCCTCACTGCAACCCGCACGTCACCTGGGTGACAGTGAAGTGTCACTTTGGGTTTTCACTCTGTAAAGAAACAGTTTTCCTTCAGAGGCTGCAGTTCAGCCCTCCGTATATTGAAATCCACTCAATCATGAGTCACATGATCACAAGCTTCTAAAAAACGATAATTCAGGGCTAATTTTTGTAGATCAAAAGGACTCTGGCAGCTTTGGAACAAATCCATGGACAGTCAGCCTGGGTTTTACAGTAAAGTGATTGCTGTTAGAGCCACCTGCCATAAAAAATTTTTTTTTAATTCCCTGGACCCCAAAACCATGAGAATGGCATAGATGCGATCTTCTTCTAAAGAAATGACACTGAAGAGTGAAGAGTATGAGACCTCCAAACACCAGCGAGAAAGAGCTTGAAATCTTTATTTTTTAAAATTTTTAATTGATATTTAGAGGGAGAGAGGAAGAGAGAGGGAGAGAGAAACATAGATGTGAGTAAAACATTGATTGGCTGCCTCTTGCACATCCCCTATTGGGGATCAAGCCCAATACCTGGGCATGTGCCCTGACTAGGAATCAAACCAGCAACCTCCTGGTTTATGGGACGAGCCCAGCCAACTGAGCCAGGGCCAGAACTCGAAATCTTGATCCCACTTAGGAAGGCCTTTCCAGGGGGGAGGAGAATGCTCAGCTGAGCCATGTGAAGGGTAGACTCTGGTAACTTCAAATCCCCTGACATGTCCCATGCTTCCTGCCAAGTCCCTGGCCTCCTGTTGGAATTTCCTGGGAGTAATAGAACCCATTCTATGAAACAGTCTGGTCTTGACATCCTTTAAAGCTCGTGGTGATGACACCGGGATCAGGTTTTCTGAAGGGCTCCCTGAACCGAGTCTCCCACAGAATGTTTAGAAAACGTCCTATGGCCCTGGCTGGTTTGGCTCAGTGGATAGAGCATTGGCCTGTGGACTGAAGGGTCCCCGTGTTCAATTCCAGTCAAGGGCACATGCCCAGGTTGCGGGCTCGATCCCCTGTTGGCGGCGTGCAGGAGGCAGCCAGTCAATGATTCTCTCTCATCATTGATGTTTCTATCTCTCTCTCCCTCTCCCGTCCTCTCTGAAATCAATAAAAATATATTTTAAAAAGAAAGAAAGAAAGAAATCATCCTATGACCACAGAATAAACCTGCATTTTGGAAGTTAGTGTGACATCCAGGCAGAGTCACTCCATGGAGCAGACTGTGAAAGTCACAAACCCTGAGGGTGCCCACGAATGTGTTGCCCCTCCCCCCAGCCTCCCCTCCACACACGACAGCTCCATCTTCAGCACAACGTTGCCTGCAACGTCGGGTTCCTCCAGCTAGCACTCGAACCTTTTCCTTTCTCAAAGATGAGAACCTCCTCCTCAGGCAGTGAACAGATGCCTGTTGAGCATTTATTCATCTCCAGGGCACATCTCCGTCCCCACAGCCTCACTGCAGGCTTCACCGTAGGCCTGTAGTCTCCCCTGGTTTGGACCTTCTGCCCCCGAATCTTGTGACCTCTCTGGTTGGCATAGTTCTTCCATGCCCACCTCCCTACTTACTACCCCACTTCCTGCTTTTATATTCATTTCTTTTCCTGCGATCTGGCATCTACCCCCACTGCCCTCCCAAAATTACTCCCTCAGAGCAATCCTGTGACTCTTCGTTTGCCTAATCTAATGCCTCCTCCTCTGCTTCAGTTTCTGTTTTGAGGTTTTTTAATTTATTTTTTGACGTAATTAACCACCCACTTCTTGGCATTGTCTTCTGGTTTCACTGGCACCTCACTGTGCCTGTGGTTCATCTCCTACCCCTCTGGCGACTCCTGCATCTTCTGGGGAGCCCAAGACTGCGACAGTCCTTGGTGCATGCGTTCAGCCCTTGACTCTCTCGTTTACCTCCTCCACTGAGCTCTTCCAGCTCCTTGACCTCAGCCATCACTTTCATGCTGATGGCTCCAAAATTGCACTCCTGCTGGGGCCTCTCACCTGGGCTCCGCTCCCACATTTCTTCTAGGGGTTCTAGGGCATTTCTTCATGAACATCTCACTGTCACCTCTAAGTTACCGTGTCTAAATGGAAGAGGCCATCTCTCCCTGCCTTCCCCAGCCCTGTTCCCTTTCCTTTGCATGGGAATGCATAGCACCTGGCAGGGACTTAGTAAATGCCTTCCCATAACTAAGTGACATGGAATAATAGGTTAAAGAGAGTAATTTTATAATCTGTAGACCGCACAATGGAACGTTTATTAGCTCTTTGTAACTTCCAATCCTGAATCAAATTTAAAATATTCTAATGTGCATTAAGCAATGTAGAGCTTTCTGAGCATTTTGGCATGAGTTATCTCAGAGGTCCTCAAACTTTTTAAACAGGGGGCCAGTTCACTGTCTCTCAGACATTCCACACATGCGCACTTCGGGCCCGGGACCAGTTGGCTGCTAAGCAGGACAGGCAGCGGCGGCAAAAACACCCGGTGGGCCGGATAAATGTTTTTGGCGGGCTGCATGTGGCCCGCGCGAGGTAGTTTGAGGTCTCCTGCATCCCTTTCCCTTACTCTCTTTGTAAAAAAATAAATAAAAACAAGCAACAGGCAGTGGCGGCAAAAACACCCAGCGGCCGGATAAATGTTTTCGGCGGGCCGCATGTGGCCCGCGGGCCGTAGTTTGAGGACCCCTGATTATCTTGTTAGGTCCTCTCGTAGCGTCCCTGTGAGCTTGCCAGTGGAAGGATTAGCCCCATTTTTGGATGAGAAAACAGGGGCATGGAAAAGTTCATTGACTTCCCCAAGATGAAACAAGGACTTTCAAGGAATGAATGGCCACCTCTTGATGGTTTTACCTGCTCCCTGACAGTCAGAGCCACTCGATGTCTGCAGCCTCCGGTGTATACCTCTGCAAATTTTTTAAAGGGCCAGATGGTAAATATTTTAGGCTTCGCAGGCCATATGGTTTCTGTCACAGTTACTCAGCTTTGCCATTTTAGCTTGAAAGCAGCCATAAATAATTTGTAAATGAATGGGTGTGGCTGTACTCCAATAAAAGTTTATTTACAAAAACAGGTGGCCGGGCCTGGTTTGCTGACCCTTGCTCTACATGAAACTCGTTCCAATTGAGAATCAGCAAGCACACTTCCCCCAGCTGGATTGTTTGAGAGGGTGGTTTTTTTGGGGGGGTGGGGAGGTTTGCTTTGGAGCCACCAGAAGAACTTCAGCTAACGGTTGTTTTTCACTTCCAGATCCTGTGTCAGAAAGAAGAGTGGGAGAACGGGACTTGGCAACAACCCAGGAAAAATCCACCTCTCCTGGCAGGTCCACTGACAAAAAGGCCAAGGATGACAGCAGGCGGGTGGCTAAGAGCACTCAGGACCTGAGCGATGTGTCCATGGATGAAGTGGGCATCCCACTCCGGGTACGAGTCCCAACTAAGTCCTTTCTGGGCCTCCTCTCAGCCAGGGACAAGTGTACACCCCTGCGTGCATGTGGGCCCCACCATGGGTTGCAAAGGCCTCGTGAGGAGGGTCCTCACCACTGTCCACTGTCTGAGCCCACTGAGGGCGCAGAGCCTCAGAGCGCTGTGCTCCAGCCTCCGAGCCCACCTTGGTCCTGGGCTCCGCGTGCAGCAGCTTTCCCCAAAGAGGTGCCGTAAGTCTCGTGAGAAAATGGATTTCACGGTTGAATGAACGTGAAGAAAAGCTTCGTGGAACAAGGGCAGGGAGATTTCTCTGCAGCAGAACTGAGAGGCGTTGAGATGTGTGTGTTGAAGAGGAGAATGTTGCCGGCAGTTTCCCAGTCTCCCCACCCATGGACACGTTATTTACTGATCCATGGAGCAGACTCGGAAATTGTTAGTCCAGGGTTAGAGAGCACAGGGGAGAGTGAGGCTCAGGGTCCCTGTTCACGGGTTCTGGGAGCAGTTCCCCTGATGGGAGCAAGCCCATCACCCAGCATGAGAGGGAAACTAAGGCAACCACAGAATGGCTCAGCCTGCCGAGGCCTCAGAACAGAGTGGTCTTGGGGTAGCCTGCCCAGCCCACCCCCCGGTACAGGCATGCCAGCCTCCTGCAGGCCCTCAGGGATTCCAGGGAAGCCCGACTTTTGAAACTGGATTAGGGTGAATTCCATTCCTCTCCATGTGCCCAACAGTACACGGGCTGCCATGTGCTTCTCGGTGATTCCCTTGAGCTAGTGTATAGGATTATGTCCCCGTGGAGAAGGCTGATAGAACAGCAGTAGCTCAGCCTCCAAAGAAATGTTGTCCAGTCCTATATAGGAATAGTTGTATAACAATAATGAGAATTATCACTAGTAGTGATCACAGCTACCATTTGCCAAATGCATTATCTCATTTAAACATCATTCACTTTACAAGGTGGCTAATAATATTGTTCCCATTTTATAGATGAGGCGGCCCTTCCACTCCTCTCCCCACCAGCTCTGTCGGTTTGGACGCTTTGACTCATTTTTCCTCATCTGTAAAGTGGGAGTGAAACTATCTGGTCTAACCACCTATCTGTCCCTGTTCTTGTTTATTTTTATCTTAAAAAATAAATAAATAAACATGAGCCCAGCTGTGTGAATAGGATGACCGCCTGGCATTGCCTGCTGTAATGGATTACATTTTATCAAGTGCATTCTGAATCTGGCCCCATGCGAGGTGACTTAGACTCACTTCTACAGAAGCTGCTGTAATGGATTACATTTTATCGGGCCCCATGCGAGGTGACTTAGACTCACTTCTACAGAATAACCTGGGATGGACAGGGCAAGGCCTGATAAGCGAATGTTCTTTGTCTCGTGTATGTTTCGAGGATGTTTTACTTTAGTTTAGTCATCTATGTATGGAAAGAGATTCTCTGTAAAAATGAAGTTTTAAAAAGTTCTATAAAAATGGACACCTTTTGAAGTGTATCTTCGTCCACTGTTGTCAAATTCTGTGTCCTGTGGGCCAAATGTTACTCTGCAGATTCAGGTCTGAATCTCTTGGTTTGTCTGTTCTTTCTGAAAAGTCTTGCACTTTTTTAAAAAAAGATTTAAGTGTGGGATCACAGGATGTATAGAATTACGTGAGTTTGGACTTGAGATGTTGTAATTGTAGAAGTTCTGAAATGTACCAAGATTTCCGTTTCATGTTATTCTTTGTCTTTCTCTTTCTCCAGAACACCGAGAGATCCAAAGACTGGTACAAGACCATGTTTAAGCAGATCCACAAGCTAAACAGAGGTACTGGTTTGCTCTTGTAGAAGCTCTGCTGTGCTCCCATGCTGACTGTTGTGGTGAGGGCATAAACCCCCTTTGCTAGGATGCCAGGACTGGCCCTGCGGCTTGACCTCATTAAGCGCCAGCCTGCCTGAGCCCAGCAGCCACCTCCAGAGCCAATGCGGGGAGGGAGCACTTGGGTGCCTGCCTCACGTGGGGGATTGAGGTCAGCTTAGAAGTCCTGCCCAGATGTTGTGGGATGCTACAGGCCCCGCTTCCTGCGCTCTGGCATCTGCCTGCCTGGGATGTGAGCAGCTCCAACTTCCACCTGCTTCCAGCTTTAGGGGCACCTCCCCATGTCAGCCCATGACTGCCTTGTAGGAGAGCAGGTTGAGAAAGCACTGAACCGGGAGTTAAAAACTGTTCTGACCTGGAGTCAGTTCCCCAGGGCTCATCTGATCTTGGACCAATCACCTACCTCTCTCTGTCTGTCCTGCTTCCCTTCCTCCAAGGGATGTTGCAAATTCTGCCTGTGAACAGCAGGCCTTCTCCCCCTGTAAGGTGGTGTTAATATGAAAAATAATCTTTCCCATCTGGAGCCAGCCGTTGGCAGGTAGCCCTGAGTCAGTCAAGAGCTGACAGTCCAAAGCCCATTCACGCTGGAAGAGAAGCGCTTCCAAGTCGGGCCCGCTGGGTGGTAGCAGGTTCTCTGCATGGTGGGGGAGCCCCGGGCCAGTGCTCGGGCAGGTCATAACCCTCCAGCTCCCATCCGCCTCTGCCGCAAGTCAGCTGATAGGCAGGGATGCAGCTGCACCATGGGAAGGTACCACACCTCCCTCAGGCAGAGCATCCTGTCCTTCCGTGTGGCCAAATCCAGTCTGGCTGCCTGGCACGGATGACACACGCAGGCAAAGAAAAAGCGTTCGGTCAGTGTTGGCCTAAGCCACAAATTACCAATCTCTCTGATTAGCTGTGGATGCCAGTGAAGGTCACTGTTAATTACCCCTGCAGTGTTCAGAGGTACCCCTCTTCAAACTCTCTAAATATTGAGATGCTCGTGTTCTGTGTTTCGGAGCCAAGAGTAAATCCACTGTAGTTGGGTGGATGAGCTCCGTCAGGATGGCGAAGTTAACGGCCAGGTCTCTCTGATTGGATAGTGCCAATTCCTCTGGTTACTTCCTGAAGCTGATGTCCCTTTCCTCCAGCAAGCTGTGTCTCACCTTTAGCCTTTAGCCCCAGCTCTGGCAGCCCCAATGTGGGGATACAGGCACACATGTGAAAAATATGTGATTCTGCCTCACCAGCAGTGTGGGCCTCTCATATGTTACAGCTGTTAACTGCTCAACTACAGGTCCCGAACAAAACTGTCTGCCTTAATGGTAGGCAGAGGTATGGAAAAATGAAAACCTCAGTTGTTTGCCTTGACTCTAATGTCCACAGCACAAGGTTTGATTTATTTTACAAAACATTTTATGATAGTGTTTTCATTACATACTATTTATTAGCAAACTTTAATATTCTTTGCCTATAAAAGGTAAAAACTTGACGCTTTGTGTTAAATGCCTCTTGCTTTCTGGAGCCTATATATACGTAATTCTTTGTCAAAGAAAAGAAATGATATTGTCTCTTTAGGTGTGTCTCAGTACTTCAGGCAAAAGGACTGGATTTTTAAACGCAGTGTAAATTTCTCTCATATCGCTAGTGAAGCTTATGTTCCGGAATTCAAGGAGCCTAAATTGTGTGTGGATTCCTATTCGTTCATTCTCTCCATTTGTATCTTCCTCTATTCTCTCTCCCAAACCTGCTCCTCTGCCTAGACACTCCTGAAGAAAACCCTTATTTCCCTACGTACAAATTCCCTGAACTTCCTGAAATCCAGCACAATTCTGAAGGTACCATAAACTTAGACAGTGTATCTGTTGTGCTAGCCTTAAATTAATTCTTAGTTCCATTATAGGAATGAGACTTGGCTTTTAGATTTTATTTTTATAGTCGTTTTTGGTTGGTGAAAATTTTATTTCACTCATTTGCATGATGTGCTATATTAAAATGACTAAGACCTCGCTAATACATTAACCTGTTTTAGGTGTGATGCCCACAGGCTTTAATAACACTAAACAGGTAATCAGTCATTTGAAAGAGTCAGTGGGGGATTGGTCAGTTCCTCCACCTCATGGTGGATCGTTTCAAAATCCACTGCTTCTCTCTGCTACAGAAGACAGTCCTTACACTCCTACCTACCAGTTTCCTGCATCTACTCCTAGTCCTAAATCTGAAGGTAATTAAAGGAAAATCATGTGCCTCTCTCTATACCGGTGCTGTTCCTTTCCCTCACCCTGGTTTTTTTTCTGGTGGCTAAGGGCTGTCTCCCAATAATTTGCTTCCTCCGACCTCACGTTGTGTGGTGTTGTCTTGCTCCTTGCTGACTGTGTGATGGGAGTCTGTCCAGATGGTGTGTTAATCCTATTTCCTTGGAATCTACATGATGAATGGGGTAGCCAGTATACCTTAGTTATGATGCTGTGAGCATGTGGAGCTCTGGGAAAAGTTGCCATACCCAGCCACCCAGGGCTTTATGCTTGGGGTGGTCACAGGGTATTGTGGGTGGCTGGGCATTGACTCAGGGAGGCTGAGTCTTATGGCTGGTGGGCAGGAGGTAGATGTGCCATCTGTCAACAGAAAAGTTACCCAGTTCCTGTATGTGCAACTAACTCCATCACTAGGACCGTCTTGCCATGGACCCTCAGGGTGTAGCTCCTTGGTAGGGAATTCCCGAAGAGGTATCCAGGTATGAGATTCAGTCATGGCGGGAAATGATATTTCTTGAAAATAAAGGCTTTGGCCAAGCTATGAAATATTTCATGAAAGAGCTGGCTTAGAAATTTGGACATGCTGGGGAGGATAGTCACACTTACACCTAGAGATAGTCTTTTCTAGGGCAAAAAGTCTAGGTGTCAAAGAAGGTCCTAATAGGCAAGTTCAGGGCAACATCCTGGGAATTATTCTAGTCCCAGGGGTTGTCTGATGTTTGGGGAGTGACCCGGAAAGAGGAGAGAGCATGGGACGTGCAGGAGGAAGTCTCCCTCAGTGCTCTTCCAGGACGAGATGTCGGATGCTCTGACCTTCATCCATTCAGGCAGGGTTGAGCCCTTGCATGTGCCATTCCCTGTCCTGGGGACTGAGGTTAGTGCCATGAATAAGATAAGTCCTCTGTTCTCAAAAGTCCACATCTGGCAGGGAATCAGGCAAGGCCACTCCATCGTACTCTGAGCAACGTGGTGGCATCTGCAAAAGCGTGGAAAAGGCCACAGCAGGTCCTCGGTGCATACCTGGCGAGTGTTGATGAGTGAAGGCTTTGGACCATGGAGTCAGAGTTGTCTTCTAGGGTGAGCCACCACCTCAGTTCTTCTCTGCTCTAATTAGGTCAGCAAACCTTCCCACAGCCCTTCTCACCATTGGTAAAGTCATCCATTAAGTCATTCACCGAACTTTTATTGATCAGTTAATATATATGAGATGACACACTGGGATGTAAATACAGCTTTAGTTAAAAGACCATATTCCCGCCCTAGCCAGTTTGGCTCAGTGGATAGAGCATCGACCTTTGGACTGAAGGGTCCCGGGGTTGATTTGGGTCAAGGGCATGTACCTAAATTGCAGGTTCCTCCCCAGCCTGGGCCCTGGTCAGGGTGTGTGCAGAAGGCAACCAATCAATGTGTTTCTCTCACATCGATATTTCTCTCTGTCTTTCCCTCTCTCTTCCTCTCTCTCTAAAAATCAATGGAAAAATATCCTCAGGTGAGGATTCAAATAAATAAATAAATAAATAACCATATTCCCTTTTGGGTCTCCCTGTTTTTCTGTGATAATCTTTGGTTTCCAACCATTTCATGCCTCGGGCCTATTTTGAATGAAAAGAAAAGTCTACCATACCAAAGCAGATGTAAAAATTAAAAGCTGATGATTGAATTTTAATCTTTGACCACCTCACTGCCAACAAAAGTCTACTTGGTGTGAGATAACCTAGTCTTTTTATCTTGGGGTACCGAGTCTAGCCAAAAACACTGCTTATGAAACAATTGACTGAGGACAAGGGGATTTTTTCAGGGTAGTTTTGACTTTTTTATTTTGGCTTTATTTGGGCCTGGAAGCCTAACCCACTCAATAAGGTAGGGTTCACATCTGTAGTAAGTGCATGCCGTGCCTGAAGGCATATTGTCCCGTAGCCGTGGGCAGAGGAGGGGCACCTGGAGAATCCTGTGAAAGGAGCAGTGACGCCCATTGAAAATTGCTGTAGGCCTGGCACAGGCAGTGCCAGCAGCTGCCACGGTCAGCCTGGCTGTTGGTCTGAAGACAGGGTTTCAGGCTTCACACCCAGAGCTGCCACGTCGCCCACTGCCACACCTAGCAACCCTGGCCAACGGTGACGTCTGCCTCTGGTACACATCAAGTCAGGCCCACGGGGGAACGAGGGTTATTCTGCCTAAAGCCTTAAACAATAACGGATGACATGACAATTCTTCATCTATAATTTAGGAAGCAGAAATCCTCACCTAAGAATATTTTTTCCATTGGTTGGTTTTGTTTTGTTTTTGTTTTTCAGAAGGGGGAGGGAGGGATAGAGACAGAATCATCAATTGGTTGCCTCCTGCATGTGCCCCAACCAGGGCCAGGGATTGAGCTGGGACCTTTCATTCCTTGAGCCGATGCTCTATCCACAGAGCCAAACCAGCTAGGGCCAGACCTTATTATTTTTTATCTTCAAAGACCAAAAAGGGAAAAATTCATAATACCCAATATGATTAAACTTGAACACAAATTTCTAAGAAAGTCTTCTTCCCTGGAGATCTTTTAAAAATAGGGTAGATTTCATCTCTTGCCCACGCTCCTCTCTAGATGACAGATTCCTCCAAGGTAGAGCACAGAGGCATTCAATTAGATGAGGGCTTTTTACAAGTGAGTGAAACATTTGACTCGATCACTTTTGAAAATCGTTTTTTTAATTTTAATTTTTGTAACTAGTAAGAGATTCTCTGGCTTGTGGCTTGTGCCGTGAGCCCAGCAGGTCCTCCTCAGCCTGTCCTGGTGCAGCTCCAGCCCTGTGCCTGCACACCCTTCTCAACGTGGGGAAGATTTATGCCGTTCAGGGAAAGGTGTTAAAGACAGATTAGCACCTCACAGAGGTTCTACCCCTAGTTTTTAATGAGCAATAAAAAATAGACAGCTTGACTGAGAGATGTGAGCCCTCATTCCAGAGTTCATCCCCAGGGGAGGAGAGACTGCTGTTGCTGCTGGTTTTTTGTTTTGTTTAATTCAGAATTTGAAACTTGCAATAAACCTATCAAAACCTGGCCTACAGCTGTCACCGCTGTCTAGATTCTGGTTGTTTATATAGTATAAAAAAGACATTTCCAAGTGTCTCAAAGCTGGTTCTCCTGAATAGTAAAGGATCACATGAAAGTTTGTTTATGCTGGCTGAGCAACCTTCTTTTTCCCCTCACTACGGTGCAAAAGTAAACTTCTGGCCAGACTTTCAGAAGATAAGTAGGATTAACATGTCTTAATCAATGAGGTTTAAAATATCCTTTTAAAGAAACCTGTAAATTCCAACAAGGAGCAGCCCCTTCTAATTGCTTTGTAATCTTGGAGAGCGCTCTACGGGACAGGAGCAATGTGATGTTTGATACTCCTTGTTTCATGAGGCAGTTGGGAAGAATTGGGGCTAGGAAATTTGGGGAGAGTAGAATGAATTCAGGAGACTTATTTCCTGTCATTTTACTACATTCCCTGGTCCTTAGGAAGCTAATAAAAAATAATAATTTACCAAAAGTCCTTTGGGAATAACTTTCAAAGAAGGCTAAGCAAATGAGTTTTACTTTCTTTAAGAAAACAAGCAAACAAACAAACTTTCATTTCACCCCCTTCCTCCCCATCATTCCTTCCTCTCTGACCCAGAGCGACTTGCCTGGTAATTACACTCCATTCTCTCTCTCAGAAGCAAATGCCCTTTCCTTGCCTCTGAGATACCAGCAAGTCAAAAGATTGTGGGGGTGGGGAGCGGGGATGTTGATGGAGCCCAGCATCGCCCCACCCTCCGCTGCACCCAGACCCTGGAGGGGCTGCCAGGAGGAGTCTTCAGACATCCTGCCCTGGGTTTCCTGCTAAAGCGGAGCGAGAGGAACAAGCTGTGGAGAAACCGCTTCCGAAACGCCTCTTCCCCTCCTCCTCCCTTCTGCTCTAGGAAATAGCAGGGTGGTGGCCAGCACCCCAGCAGCTCACAATCAGAATCCTACTAATAATTAATAGTAATAGTAGCATAGCCACTGCGATGACTGTGCCTCACTGTCCTCTGTGGAGCCCCTACCAAATACCAGGCTCCGTGCTGAGTGCATCACCGTCGTCATGTCATTTCATCTTCCCAGCAACCTCAGGAGGTACGGCCTCATTCTACCAATAGAGGGTGTGAGGCTCAGAAAGATTAAGTGATTTGTGCAAGATCACACAGTAAGTGGCAGCGCCGGGATTCAAACCCAGGTCTCGGGGGCCCAGCAAACATGGGCTTTTATGCACTCTGTTCTGCTGCTCTGCTGCTTCCCGTTCCTCTCCGGCTGAGCTCTGTGTTCTTGGTTGGCCCCCTTGCCCAAGGGCTCTCTGATGCCTGATTCCAGGCGTCTGGCCTGCCCTGCTTCTGAGTCAGTCATGTTTCCCGGGCTGAGCCGGTGTCTCCCAGGACGGTGCCTGGGAGTATGAAGTCAGGGAAGCTCCCTGACACCCGGCCAGGACTGAGAACCACTGGGATGGAGGAATGCCACCCTTTCCACCCTCCAGAAGAGGAAGACACTCGCTAGCGCAATTTGAGGGATTTGGATATAGAATTAGAGTGGGGAATACAGATTCAAAAATTCCGCGGGTGAAAATAGAAGATATTTTCAATTGATGCCTCCAAATAAGCAGTAAAACCTCGTGGTCCATGGCCTGAGAGGACCCCCTTGTCCATGTCAGGATGAAGAGCTACCACATCGGCCAGGGGTGATGTCCCCTTGCTATCCAGGGCCTCTGCCACCGCTGTCAGGCAAATCGTGGCCACTGCCACCTCCTGGCGAAGTGACTTAAGACACCATCCCCAAGACATCCCCAGGTCGCGGTGACGCATCATGTCCTACGGGTCTGTCGCCTTGAGCTTTTCCCTCAATTCTCGATGAGGATGCACTAAGGCAAGGATTTAGGAGGCTGATTTTCCCAGTCACATCTATATTTGAGTTAAAATAATCCCCTGCT